TCCAAACTCTATTTCACCATCCTCAGTCTTCTGTTTTAACTTGTGTGTAGTGCCATCAGAAGTTATTAGAGATTCTAATACCCTGTTAGTGACTCCCACCTTGGACCAGCTGAAGCTGATAACACTTTCTCTATTTCATCAATACCTCACTGGTGTGATGAGAGCAGATCCAGAGGAGAACCCTCCACCAGTGGTCTGTCAGAACTACAACAAAATTCAACTGAACACTTGGACTCCTTACACAAAAGGCTCTGCAAGACAGTGGAGACATTCCATATGGGAAAACAGCTTTTTCCTGTTTCACCTTTTGCCTTCCTCTAGGCAGCACTGCAGACAGTGTGGCATCAGAGCAAATCTCGTGGGCAAAAAGGAAAAGAAGAGATAAGAGTAAAGACAACTTGAGGAAGAAACATCCTGTGCTGAATGGAACAGATATATAATCAAGAGATCACGCAGCAGCGAAAGATAGGGATATCTGCAGAGAATCATATTTTGCTGTAGAGAACTCATCAAATCAGAGTGATGGAAGCAGCAAATTGAAGTAAAATCAAGTTGAGGGCAAAACACCAGGTTATTTTTTTACAAAAAAGTGATTCCAACAGCTGGTAAGAACCTTTCCGATTACATAAGATGTTTAAGGTCTTCTGCACAACCTGAGCTGGATGTAGATGCTGAATAAAGGTCAACAGAACTGACGTAACAGGAAACAGGATTTCCACAGCTATTTGTAGCCTTCCAACCAAGTCAGGCAGTGTGCAACCGAAGCAGGCATAGTCTGAGACATTCCAGTTCATCTTTTCCACACATTGGTTTTCAAAGTGAGACTGTTAGGCAACAGCAAAGTTTTAAAGTGTGCAAGACACTCATGTGAGCTGCCCAAACTATCACCCTTAAACAGATATGACAGAAGTGAAAAGTGATTACTGTGATACTTTCTTAGAGACTAGACTTTTTCATAAACCCATAAGGCAGCAAAGGAAAAGCATCAGAGAAGAACCTACCTAATACTGCCAAGCTCAAACAGCACTGATGTCTTTATAGCAAATTCAAGATGGGCAAAGAGGTGTTTTGAAAGTTAATTTAAGTTTGAGAGAATAGAAGAGATTGTTCCATGCAACTATGATGAGCTAGAAACTGCTTCACCCATTGCAAATACTGTTGCAAAATGGGGATTTAGTTTTTCTTATATACTTGTTGCTAAAATTTCTGGACCCAAACATGGAACCAAACCTATTTGGAGCGTATCTGGACCCAAACACAGTGCAAAACAATACTATTCCTTAGAAAACAAGAAAAGTTTAAGAGACAGGCAACTTTAGCACAGTGACCCAGAAAATAACAGCTATAAGCCACTGGGTTAAAAATGTGAAATAGTGGTAGTGTCCACACACAGAAAGGAGGGAACATGAAGGCATGTGGCAGAGAGACAAATGTTTACTCAATATTTACACATGCAGGAGATGCCACAGGTAGATGAACATTTAAACTTTTTGAATCAACCACAAAGGCTCATGCATCAGCCTGCATCATTCAACAATCTCTAGGTGGTAAGTAGGATAACACGAACACAACTGCTAAAAGTGCAAGACTAAACACCACTTGCCAGTGCCTGCAATGAGCCCAGGCTCACTGCGTCAGAGCTGATGCATTAACTGTCCTACCCAAGAACAGAGTACAATCTTCTCAGAGATGCAAGTTAAAGTTACATTCTACTGGACCAGAAACTCACTTTTGCCCGTGAGACATCTTGGTGGTTAGAAGAGGCCACTGGCTAAGCAGTTTTTTACAAGCCAGAATAGAGCTTACAGCAACATGGGAAAAAAGTCAATTTTACTTCCATGTTTCAGACGCAAACTAGGACAACCGGAACCTCTCCGAGGCCAGCAATTCCATTTTATTACCAAATAAAACAAGAGCAGCACACAGGGAAGCAGAGGGTTGTGCAAAACCACTGGGAGAAGATACCTCGAGAACACTGTGCTATTTCAAGTTTCTCACATCAGCTGAAGCTGCTGTGGGAGTGCTGTGTGTTTCCATGAACTGACAGACGTGCTGGGGCTGCTGCAGCTCTGCGTTTCCCTGCTGCGCATTCTAGGCCCTGCCTTCCCCCAGTGCTGGCATTTGTTGGATCCTACTGAACTGTCCAAGAAAAACAGACCAGTCAAAGGTTAACCCCCAAAGGGAAAAGCTGTTCAATTTTTGGCCAGCTCAACTCCCTGAACCAGTTTGTGATGGGGTCAGAGGAAGGCCTACAGCCCCCGGGGGTGGGCTGGGAGGATCACAGCAGTCCTGATGAAGGCTGATCAACCTCAGTGGGCCAGAACTAGCAGGCAACTGCCGCCATGCACGTGCATGGCATGTTTGTTTTGCAGCAGGATCACATTTTTTGAAAAAAACAGGAACATTTAACACAAGGGACAAATATAAATGACAGCTCTAATAGACACTGAAGCAATTCTGCAACAGAAGGCAGCTAAGCAGCTGTGCCAAAGGAGCATGCACACCCCAGAAGCAGAAACCTTTTACAATGCAGTGATCTGCTGCTGCTGGTTTGAGACCTCCAGATACAACCAAACCAATTTTATTCAAGAAGCTACAGAAAACATAGGGCTGAGAGAGGAAAGCTGGTCCGGGAGCTCTGAAATCTGGAAAGACACAAGTGTTTCAAATGCTGTTCACGAGCAGCTGGTACTCACGTGATGAAGTCCAGAAAGCTTGCCAGGGGCTCGTACGCGTGGTTCCTCATGTGACGGAACTCCACCACCATCTTCTCCTTCAGCTTGTCATCTATGACCGACACAGTGAGTGGAGAGGCTTCGTTGGCCAGGAAGTTCCCATAGTCTGTGCTCTGGAGGTGCAGTTTCAAGTCTGAAAAAGAAAGATAATTTCACTCTACAGGGTTTTGTGTTGGGTCTAGGATTTTTTTTTCAACATAGCCAAGAAAGCTGTTGCTCATCACTGCTCTAATCATTCTCTTATCTGAAAGATCTCCTAGACAAAACCCTTGTGTTCAGTCATACACTTGTATCTGTGCTCAGTTTTATCATGGACAACCCAAATGCAGGAAAAGGTCAGTGTTTCACGGTATCAGCTTTGCCTCATCTTAAAGAGGAAACTGTGACACTATCTGTGTAACTGAGCACAGACTGGTGCCAGCTGTCCACTGTGCTTGATCCAGGTCAAAGCTTACTCATTTTCTAGGAACTATTTGCTAGCAATCTGCGGGGGGAAGAAACAACTTAAGCAGTCCCTCTAGCCAAAAGGGCTCTGGTTGCAAGCTTCTCTGAAGCAATCAGAACCACAAACCTAGCTGCACCCACAAGCAAGTTTCCCCGAGATACAAGTGATGTGGAGGCATCTGAAAAGCTTTCAAAGCCAAAAAGACAAAAACATCAACTTCGAATTATAAACCAGTTTAGTATTACATCATCAAGACAGTCCAGCCAACTGCATTGGTCAAGAGAAGTCAGGCATTAAGAAGTAGAGAGGGGCTGGTGAAGATAAGGCCATTTAAATCCATCTCACATGGTAAGCAATCCCCGCTCAGGATGGAAGAACATGCTCAGAAGCCTCACTCTCCTCCAGTTTCAAGCAGAGGAAACCTTTGTTTCCTCTGTTACCCCTGCTGCAGGTCAGGTGCCCAACCAAGCTGCAGTCTTGGCCAACAAGCAACCACAACATGCTGAGCTCTGTCAAGATAAAAGCCCTATTTGAGCCAAAAGCATTTAAGTGCCTCTATGGAAAAACTGAATCCAGAACTGAGGAACGTCATATAATCCTACTCCTCAAAGCTCTACTAGTTGCACTGGTACATAGTGTTCATCTCCCTTCAGCTTCACCTCAGAGGACCAGTTAGGCAAGCATCCTCCCAGGGATTCAAGACCTTTATGGGGAAAGAAGAGTAGCTGGAAGAGTTGAGTCAAACCAGATGTGAACACACCATCCAGAGAAAACAAAACAGACATTTCTCCTTGGTTTCTCTGAAGCAGCAGAGCTGAGGCTGCCTTTCCCTTCTGCTGAGCCATATGAGTCCTCAGCATTATGGCAGGAGCATCCACAGCACCGAGGTCAGAGCAAGGACTCAGCCTAGTTTGAGCAATTTGCTGTTTTGATGTTGTACCCTGCTACATGCATGAGCTGGAAAGCATCCTCCTCAGTCAGGCTCCAACCTGAGCCTGCACAGTGCAATACTGTCCTCAGTCCAAGGGGTGGAAGGGTCAAACAGCTTCCAAGCTGACCTTTAACTCTTCTGGGTATTTCCAAGCAGGTCTAGCAAAGATGTTTATGACCCGACACCTTTTAGTTATGAAGATGTTCCCACAGGAAACAGATGGAGTTTAAAGAGAGGGGAAATGAAACCCAGAGACTTAAAGAGCACTCAGTTTCAGTCATGTTTCACAGTGGTTTACAGGAGAGCTTGGTGGCACTCTTACTTTTAGCAAGGAAGGTGATTCTGCCCCTCCAGTCTGCTCTGGTGAGACCTCACCTGCAGCACTGCATCCACTTCTGGGGTCCTCAGCACAGGAAGGACACAGACCTGCTGCAGAGAGGCCAGAGGAGGCCACTGAGACAATTAGAGGGATGGAACACCTCCCCTATGAGGAAAGGCTGAGAGAATTGGAGTTGTTCAGACTGGAGAGGATTCTGGGGTGACCTTTTAGCAGCCTTTCAGTACCTGAAGGGGCTACAAAAGAGCTGGAAAGGGACTTTTGACATGGGCATGGAGTGACAGGACAAGGGGGAATGGCATCAAACTGAAAGAGAATAGGCTTAGAATGGATATTAGGAAGAAATTCTTCCCTGTGAGGGTGCTGAGGCACTGGCACAAGTTGCCCAGGGAAGTTGTGGATACCCTGGAAGTGTCCAAGGATAGACTGGATGGGGCTTGGAGCAACCTGATCTAGGGGAAGGTGTCCCTGACCATGGCAGAGGCTGGACAAGATATCTTCAAGGTCCCTTCCAACCCAAGCCATTCTAGTGCTCTATGAATCTGAATCCTGCATGTAGCAGAGAGCTCCTGCCCAACAACACACATCATGACTGAAGCAAAGCAGAAGCTTAACCCAGATCTGTACTCCCCAGACTATGCTGCAGCTAAACAGCTGTGGTTTATTCTACCAAAACATGAGCAATTTCTGCTCACACTTCAGAGATGTGAAAACACTGTCTGGATAACTCAGACAATTGAGTTTTCAACATGAACCTCATCACAAAGTCAAACACTGGATTATGCCAAAACTTGGAATATCCCTCTATGCAGTCTGAATAGGATTGTTATTGATGGTAATCACTTCCTAAATCCTGCAAAAAGCTCAGCTCATAGGCAGTACCCTGCATGCAAAGGGTTCTCATCCGTCTGTTCTGCAATTGATTGATTTGTGAATCAATTTGGGAGTAGAAATCTACCAGAATTACATCTTAATGAGATTCTGTACCACTTTTGAAAGCTCTTGAACAATGAGCTTTGGAGTCTGTGTGGAAATTAAGATCCACTGACAGATCAGGACTTTACTAGTTTGCTTTCTGCCAAAGCTGGAGGAAACACACAGCAAAATTCATCAATGAATATGTTCAATGAATACAAGAGAAAAGGTCCAGTAAGAGTATTACACCCATAAAATCAGGCCATGAGGAAGGGCACAGGGGACTGCAGTAACTGCATTCATATACTTCCTACTTGCAGTTCCCTGTAGTTGTGCAGAGCTCTAAGGAAAGCTAAGCCTGCCCAAAAAGGCATATGATGTTTTGCAGAGAGGAAGCAGTTAGTGCATATCCTACCACATCTGTCTTCAGTAGGGAAGCTTCCAAAGGTTACAGCTTGCTTCCTCAACTCCAATACCATTGGTTTGTTTTGGTGTCATCACAACCTGAACTCTGCTTTTGGGGTTGCAAGAAACTGCTTTGCTATCAGGTCACTTGATGCTAGAGACACAGTGACACAAAAAGCAGATTTTGCTGTACTTTCAGGAAGTCAGAGCTGCACTGCATCTAAACCAGAGGCACACAAGCTGCACACTGGGCCTTGCAGGCTCTCCCTTGACAGCTCTGAGCAAGCTCCCATGAGCTGCTTGGCCAGAACATTTTGCCCTGCTCCATGAAGGGGTTGTGTCCCCCCAAACTCCACAGCAGAAGAGCCAGCACATTATGTTGCAACTGGAATAAGGGCCATGTTTATATAACACTTGGAATACATTTTTACAGGGAAGGCCAGCCACAAACTGCAGGAACAAAACTTTTCTGAATCTCTTAGCATCCAAACAGACAAAACAGAACGTATTTTCCAAAATTTGGACCGGATTTATGAACCCTGACTCAAAGCATCCCACGGTGTACCAGAGCCTTACATGAGCCTGTCCTCCTCCAGCCACCGGGCCAGTCACCAAGCCTCAGCCAGGAGGGCTGGGGAGCTTTTAGTAGGACTATCCACATGTCAGGCTTCTCAGCTAAGAACAAACTCATCCCGTGGTTCCACAAATCTCCTGCCAGAAGAGCTGTCCCAGTAGCACGGTGACTAATAAGTGGACCCACTGCTGAGCAGGCCCTGAGCTCTCCAAAAGCTCAAATTCCTAACACAAGTTCGGAGTTGGCCTCTGGCAGCAAGAGCAGCCCCTTGGCAGGGGCAGCTGCCAGAGATCCCACACGCTGCATGTTGGCAGGACACAGGCTGTGAATCTTCTGCTGTGCCTCTTCCCCAGCTGCCTGCTGGAAAGGAGGGAGATCTGTCCCTACAGCCCAGCCGCTCCCCAGGAGCTCCAGATGCTGACTAACAGCAGCACACGGCCTTAACCCAGAGATGGATTTTAAGAGGTACATTTGCCTGTTTCGGCATTTTTCCAAGCGGTTCTCACACTTTAAGTAACAGACTGAGCCAGCATTTGGCAAGGGAGCACTTGAATGACCACAACACTCTTGTTCTCTCTCCTCCCCCGCAAAAGCTAGTAAATTATGGCCAGGTCACAGCTCCCAGAAAGCTGCCTTGTGCAAGAACACAACAGCCTGTCAGAACAACAGCCTTTTTCTGCTGAGTATTCAAGTAGGGTAGTGCTTGGGATTGCCATGACATGCACTTACAGCCACCTCCTTTCAAGCCTGGGATCAGGCCCTCTGGTTTCAATGCAGCTGCCTCTGCATGAGCCATAAACACAACCAAAGCTTAACACATTGCTGGGCCAGCACCACCACACCTTGGCATTTCAGATGATGTTTTATCAAGAGACTTCAAATCCACAGTAATGAAACTCCTCTCCTGCAACTTTGCTCAGTCATAGCCATTAGTCTGTCAGCCATCTGTCAGTCAGAGCCTGTCCTATAAGCCCTGCTCAGACAGTGACCTATGGCCCCATCAGCTCAGACTTCCAACCCTTCCTTCTTCAGCATCCTGCCATAACTGCATTGCAGAGCTCTGAATCAAGTTAAGGGCTCAAGCAGTTCCAGGCAAGGACCAACCTTTTGTCTCACACACAGGCACAGAATCAGCTTCTGCAACTTCTGAGCTGATGTTTTCACACAAATTATTTGCTCTAACCCCAACATCTTGCTCCAAAGCACCCGAGGCCATCATTGCCTGTATAAAAATTAAAATATTGTTTGCTGTCTCCAGGCTGGAGGCACTAAAGCAGCTGAGGGATTACACAGCAGCCTGTGGATCAGCTACATCACCCACGTCTCCCTTCTGAAGACTGCAGTCATTACCATTTGCCTTTCTGCTGTTTGTTTGGTCTGTTTATAGCCACCTCAGACACCCCTGAAGATGATTCTTTGAAATCTTGCCCAAGAATTACTCAGAGACCCTTTGTTCCCTGCAGAATTTAAGACTTTCCTGTGGCTGTAATACCAGCAGCAGTGATGTGCCACCTTTTCTCTGTTGT